GTGAAAGAATGGAGAAAAATATTCCATGCAACTGGAAACCAAAAGAAAGCAGGAATAGCTATGCTTCTACCAGACAAAATAGACTTGAAGTCAAAAAATGTAACAAGAGACAAAGAAGGTTATTATATAATGATAAAGGGTTCAATTCATCAAGAAAATGTAACAACTATAAATATATATGCACCCAATATCAGAGCACCTAAATATTTTAAGAAAAAACTAAGATCTGAAGGGAGAAAGTGACAACAAAACAATAATAGTAAGGGATTTCGGTACCTTCTGTGGGGCTGGAAAGGAGGCATGCTGGTTGATGGGACTCCAGTCTCAGGACACATGCTTCTTGACACAGACAAGTCTTATTCCTGAGCGAAACCCCGTCCTCCTCCCCTCGACCTTCATGCATATTTGGAGCCGGTAGGCACATCACCATGCTCTCTCCAAGGCCTGGCAACTGTCACTCTGTATAGTGACTGGATCTGCCTCAATTTGAGTAACAGCCTAGCCTGCCAAAATCAGATTCATTTTGCTTCATTCTGCAAAAAGAGTTTAAAATTCTCTCACCTCTGTCCTCCGAGTTTTGCAGTTTATGTTTGAAGCTAGCACTTGTCGTCGACGACTCTTGGGTCACAGTCTTTGAAAATATACACACACACACAAATACATGTATTTATGTCAAGATAAGAAACACATGGTGCTGTATTATCCCTTAAGAAGGAATAAACCAATATAATATTAATTCTGAAAAACCCGATGAATAACCAACAATTAAATAGTACCTTAGATACGTTTCCTTCAACATCTGAATGCTCCAAGGAAGAAAGCTCACTCAGTGGGTGAGGACTGTGAAGTTCTGAGTATGAGGGATAATGAAAAGTTTTCAGGGAATAAGCACACTGAGAAGAAACTGAGGCCATAAAATTTCAGTGTCAATCTACATATAAAATTTCACCATCCCCCACGCCCCCCAAAATGGACACAGCTCTAAAAAAGAAAAATCCCCAAACCAAGAAGTACTTTGGATCTTTCAGGGCACCCATGGGTATTAATTTTATAGGTCTGTGCATGAAATCAATAGCCACTTACCCCAACTGGATCAGTACCTTCAGCAGCTGCCCATCTGGCCCCAGATACATGACAAAGACTCTATCACCTCAATGTTGTGGTCCTTCTCTCTCCTCTCTTAGATTGGCTCCCTTTATTCCTCTTACTCTATTGCTCTATTTTTCCTCTCTCCTCTTTTCCTTTCCCTACTTCTTTTCTGCTGGTGGCAGCCAAGCTAAGAGGCTCCCAGTCATGTGCTTACTAAGCACCATTATGTGCCTGTCAACGTGCTAAAATGTAGAATGATAAAGAGCAAAACAAAACCCCTAAAATTTAAATGATGCAGATCATTTTAATAAAATACAGGGGCGGGGGTGGGTGCGGTGAGATAAACCCTATAGGTCAAGGGCTGGCAAACTCCAGGCCCTCAGGTCAAATCCAGTTTGACATCTGATTCTATAATAAAGTTTTATAGAAACACAGCCATGCCCATTGGTTTATGTCTTTTCTGTGGCTGATTTGGGGCTACATATGCAGAGACGAATGGTTGCAACAGAAAGTATAGGGGCCATAAAGCAAAAATAATTACTATCTGGTCCTCTACAGAAAAGTCTACTGACCCCTGCAATAAATCATTATTTGAATTTTCTTGCTTCTTTAAAAGAGGAAGAACACAACAATTCTTGTGCATAAGCTGATCTCAAATGTTAAAACAAAATTAAGACACAATGAGGGCATAAAAGAGAAGAACAATCAATCACACCTTCACATTTTCTTCAACATATATTAAAAGAAATATGTTTTGTTTTTTTCAAACTACCTTTGTCAAAATATAATTTTTTCTACATAAATTGACAGAAAATCACATACCTGTTTTCTGGGCAGAATCTTCAGGAGTTAAAAAGGCAGAACTACTCTGAAATTTTGCTCCAGGAATTTTTGGAGGTGTGGCATTTTTTTGTCTGGAGGTCTCTTTCCATAATGGTGTTAGAATTTTAGCCTAAAATATAGTATTTTTAAAGTGTTAACATTCACAACCACTCAAAACAACTTATCGAAACGTTCTAAGACGTTTCCAATATCCTTTTAAAAAGTTTAAGTATTGAATATGCTCTATTCGAAAATAACCTCACTAAGACCGTAAGATCCCAAGGCTGGAAGCCCATTAGAGCACGTATCAATTGATAAATCTGACTCAAAGATGACTCGCAAAGTTCTCCAAGTGTGGTCCTGAACCAGAGCCTCGGCAACACGTGAGAACTTGATGGAAACGCAAATTCGCAGGCCCCACCTACAATGCACTCAATCAAAATCTCAGCCTGCGTTTCAGCAAGCCATCCTGGTCATCCTGATCATCACTGAAGCCTGAGATCCACTGTCTAAACCAGCAGTCAGCAAACTACAGCTCACTGCCTGTTCTTGTAAATAAAGTTTTATTAGAACACAACACACGGATTCTTTGAGTATTGTCCATGGCTACTTTCATGCTACAAGGGCAAAGGTGAGTGGTTGCTACAGAAATCATACAGCTTGAAAAGATGAAAATATTTACTATCTGGCCTTTTACAGAAAAGGTTTGCCAACTCCTGCTCTAAATTATTCTCTTAAACTCCAATACGGAGAAGTGAGTTTTAGATACCACTGTCTGTACAAAGTCAGCAGTGGTCTCACTGGACATCAGCTGGACTTCCTGTCAGTTGCATACCTTATGTTTATGGATTCTCAAAGCTTTGATGTTTCTTTGGTACCTAATTTTTTAAAGCTATATCATGCTAAAAACTGTTCTTCTGGCCTTTTTCTGATAACCCCTTATTTCAGGTTGAACTATTCAACAGATATTTAGGTACTTACTCATAGGTTTAAACTATAAGCTATCTCAGTCATTACAGAACATGAGTCCCTTAGATTCACAGAGGACAACACCCCAGGCTGATGGAAGAAGGCAGGCGGTGGGGAAGGGCAGAGATGGAGCTACAATTAGAGCTCTGACCACAGTTATTTCTGTACGAGTAAGCAGGGTGCTGGTGATGCTCTCAGAATCCCAGCAGCTGCCCTTAGAAAATTTCTAAACACTTGGCACGATAGTCTTTGGGCAGTGTGTGTGTCTGAATACATATATCTAATATATGTACACAATTATTATATATATGTCATGTATTATATATACATGATTACATATAATGTATAATGATCTACATTACATAGAAAACAATATCATGTATATAGTGTGTGTATATATATATATACACGCACACTCTCTCTATATATAAAATTTCATTTGACAACAAAAACCAACCCCGGAGAAAGGTAATCAAGCTAAAAACATGATAAATTAAGCTTTGAATTGGTCTGGAGGACACTAGTGTCCATGTTCTTAACTACTTCGCTATAAAACAAGGGTAACTGAAGAGAATCAAGAGACTTTCAGGGCTTATTCATTGTTTATATAAACCTGAAGGCATTTCAACGACTTGCAAAAATAAAGATTTAAATGTTTAAATCACTGAAATCTTTGAGAGTAACATGTCAACAAACTGAAAACTAAAGGAAGAATTAAACCAAGAGATTTATTTTAAAATATAAATTCAGAAGAGGATACATTTGCAGGAAATCAGAATAGCCCAGGTTTTAAGCACTGTTGATAATAAACATCTTTCAACAAATTTGGAAACGATGAAAAAAGATTCTAAATCTTTATCCACGATTCATACTAAATGTTCAGAAGTCTTTGAAGTTTCTATTGAAAGTGATTTATGAGTAAACCACTGGTTTGTTATTCTCATATTTTGGACAGAAGTTTTTTTTGTTGTTGTTGTTTTATTTTTGCCAAATAAAGGTAGTTTAATCTGAAACAGATTAACTTGTTTCATGCTTTCACTGTTAAGAGCACACAGCAGGCCAGATAAAATTTACTTACTTGGTCTTTCTCAAGGTCACTGCCACTACTGAGAGGGAGAGGTGGCAAGACTAAAACGAAAGGGAATAAGTATACACAATGGGTAAGTTTACTTATGAGAAATACAAAAATATACACCAGAAGCAACTCCCACTTCCCACAGCTTGCCGAAATGCCTCGCTCTCAAGAACTCTAATTGTTCTGCTTTGCTCATCACCCAGCGTGAACTCTCTGCTCCAGATCACATCCCTGGATGCTGCTTTCAGGTCCCTTAGTTTGCCCTTGTACTTTTATGTAATTAGAATGCTTCCGTGTCTCCACACCTCATCAAATCCTACCCTTTCCCCTGGATTAGCTGAAGCTCCACCCACCTCTTCCTTGAAGCTTTTCCTGAGGATTCCAGCTTATGTCGGATTCCTCTGAACGGACCTCCTTACTCCGTTCATCGGTAGCTCTTATTTAACTATTATTGGTCAATTCCACACTCTTTTGTGCTGTTTCATGTACGTGTATTTTCCCTTCCCGATGTACTTGCATCAGAGAAGGAGGATTACACGATCATCTATCTCTTTGGTACCCGCTCCCATCACACGCTGGAAAAGTAGTACCTACTGATGGATCTGAAAGGTGCCTGGAAAGGAAACACCCACCAAACTTACTTCTGGCGCTACTTCTGGTTCTTTTCTTTTTCCTACTAGGATATGACTTTAGGGATTTCCTTTTTTGGTTACTGGTCCAGGACAGGTCACTGGTGCTAGTACTTGAATCTTGATTACTCTCTGAGAAGAGGTGTTTCCTATAGCTCAACTTACAAACACAAATGATAAATGAGCACTATTAAAAGGGCACTGGTACCATTTATGTACAATTAAGTATATTACTACAAAGTTAGACAAAAGCGAAGTAACTCCTTCAAGAATCCTGGGCTCTCTTACAGAATAAAAGAGCAAAACGATTATTTCATTTGTCAGTTCTCAACCAAGCTACTGTTATAAAAGATGACAAAATGCTCTCTCATCAAGTATCTGCAACTTAAGAGATGTTAGGGAACTGTCCAAAAGCTGATGCATCTGATTTCTTACCAACACAAACTTCAAAATACTAACCCAAACAACAAAAGAAATTATAAGAATTACTTTTGCAAAGACACGCTTGTCTATGTCTTAGAGGAGCTAAAATAAAACAAAGGGGTTTTCTATTTACACCGTAAAGCATTTTGCAATTGAGCCTGGACTCCAAAATTTAGAGATTTAGGGCAAGTTTAATTCTGTTTTGGTGGATTACTCAACTGTACATTGATGTTTATGTTTTAAAAGTCTGGTTTTTGATTAGCTTTTATGAATGCTATGACAAATAAATGTGTATGCTCGATTTTAATACCGAATTTTTGACTTTAACAAAACACATAACTCTGAACCCTGTCTGTTGTGCCCCTCCGGTGGGGGAGGCGGGGGCCCAGTCCTTAAACCACCATGCCTCTAGAGGGCGCTCCATCATTCAGCTGGTAAGACAGTCTTATCTCAGGTCAGGGAGGATTCTTACGAATACAAACATACTAAGTGGTGACAATATCTGACAGTCTTCTCAAATACGAAACGGATCAGCTGGAGGATACACCCTGTGCTGAGAATGGCAACATGCAGACTCAGCCCCTGAGACCATCCTATGTCAGGGGCTGTGTCACCCTTGTTTATGTAACATGACCTGTAACTTTTGGTGGTGGTGGGGTATTATTTTATTTAATGGAGCTACTAGGGTTGGACCCAGGACCTCGTGCATGCTGAGCATGAGCTCTACCACTGAGCTACAGCCTCTTCCTAACCCATAACTTTTAAGGTGGGTGATTGTGAACTATTGTTCTAAGGAATCCATTTTTGAAGACACAATTATTCTGACTTTAAAATGTTTAGCAGTTGAACATTTTGTAAAGAAGGTCATTTTTAAAAGTAACTTTGTAAACCAGGCGTATTTGCATCTTACTCCTACAAGGGAGAAAAAAGAAAGTTTATGGAACTCACTACATACATCCAGAGTTTTTCACCCTGGTGTCTTGCAAAACGCAAGCATTACTCCCTTCAATGTGCCCGACTGAAAAACCATGCAGCAAGGCTGTCCCAGGCTTTTGGGTTTTATATAAAGAGATGTTGAAAGTTATTTACAAAAAAAAAAAGTATCTAGAGCAGTGGTTCTTAAGTTTGGCTGCATATTAGAATCACTAGGAGAGGGGCTTTGAAAAACCCAATGCCTAGATCACTCTGTGTCAATTAAGTCTGAATCTCTGGGGAAGAGTTCCAGGCCTCCCCTTCCGCTTCCCATGTGATTCCAGCTGGAGCACTGGGCAGCAGAGAGTGAAGACCACTGCTAAGAAAAAGCAAGAAGGAGCCTTAACTTGTTGGTTGGAAGCCCATGGTGTCAATTTTAGGGAAAAAAAATTTCATTTACTGCTCATATATACATATTTTTAATGCACTGGACAGGTGGGAATTGGCTCACACAGGAACGAAGCCATGTCATTGGCTAAGAACCAAATATTTCTTTCAATTCATTAACATTCTATTCAGCTGCTAATAAGTCTTTAACACTCTCTTGTATTTATGTAATCATTTCTTAAAGCAAGACCAGACGTTTGGCTCAAAGCCTAATACAAGTAGAAGTACAACTCGATACAACTTTGTCATTTTCTGTTGTATTTATCTGGGTGCTTACTAACTATTTGTACGACTAATGCTGATTTTCCATTTGAAAGTGGAATACTTCCTTTTAAAACAAGCTGAAGATAGATTTAACTGAGAAGCATAAAGAGCAGAGGAATGTCAAATTTTGAAGATGGTATGCAAATAACAAAAATGTGGTAAGTGTTGCCCCAAAACAATAAAAGGTATTCCATTACCGACATCCTTGTTTCTTGCTTTCTGTCACCCTCAAAAGCAGAATCTTTCCTAAAACAGAATATATTGAATTACCAGAGCTGTACCACCACCATTTTCTCCTTTCATCACTTGATAGCATTTCTTTTCCCCGTCATGTGCCCTTTGTCTGATTGTGAGCCCAGCGCGTGGGAAGTGCCCCATTCTGCGACAGACTTCTTATCTTGCAGTCCACTTCTACAGATCCTCTGCCTGACAACCGGTTATTTAAAACAAAACAGACTTCTGCTGAGCCCTTCTCTGTCGGGCATATAAAGACTGGAAGGCAGAGTGGGATCATCAAGTCGACAGTGAGCCGTGGTGATGCCACAGATGCATCAGTGCCTCCTGCCCAGCTCTGACTTCGAATCCACCAGGTGCAAAAAAAAAAAGCTTTTCCTGATGATTAGTGATATTGAGCCTCTTAATATATACTTATGGGCCATTTGTATATCTTCTTTGGAGAAATGTCTCTTCAAATCCTTTCCCCATTTTTTAATCAGGTGATTTTTTTTTTTTTTGCTACTGAATTGTAGGAGTTCCTTAGACATTTTGGTTATTAACCCCTTGTTATTATATAAAAAAAAAATCCCACAAAAGATAAGTGTTGGTTAGGACATGGAGAAATTGGAAATCTTGCATACTATCCGTGGGAATGGAAAATGATGAAGCCACTATAAAAAAACAGTAGGGGGGTTCCTCAAAAAGTTAAAAATACAAACAGCAGAAGTTTTTCATTTTGATTAAGTCCTATTTATCAATTTGTTCTTTTATAAGTTGTACTTTTGGTGTCATATCTAAGAAATCTTTGCCTAACCCAAGGTCACAATATTTTTCCTTATGTTTTCTTTCAAATAGGTTTTACATTTAGGTCTATGATCCATTGTTATTTTTTTTTAAATACAGTGGAAGGTAAAGATTGAAGATTTCTTTTTCGTATATAGATAGACACTCAACTACTCTAGCATCGTTTCTTGGGGAAAAAAAGCTGTTATTTCTCTACTGAATTGTCTTTGCCTTTCTGTCACAGATCAGTTGTCTATATATGTGTAGTCTGTTCCTGGACTTCCTGGTCTGTTCCATGTATTTATCTGTCTTTATGCCAATATCATACTCTCTTGATTACTGTAAGGTTATAGTAAGTATTAAAAACGGGTAGTGTGTTAGCCCTCCTCCCTTTGTGTTTCTTTTTGAAATTTGTTTTGGCAATTATAGGTTCTTTAAATTTCCACCTGCAACTTAGAAATAGCTTGCTAATTTCTAAAAAACAAACAACAAATAAAAAACTCTGCTTGAATTGAGATCACGTTGAACCTATAGATCAGTTTGGGAAAATTGGCATCTTAACAATAGTGAGCCTCCCATTCCATAAACATAGTACCTCTCCCCATTTATTTAGATTTTGCTTAATTTCTCTCAGAAATGCTCTGTGGTTTTCAGTATAGAAGTCTTACACACCTTTTGTTAAATTAATCCTTAAGTATGTCATTTTTTCATACTATTGTAAATGGTATCAGGTTTTTTTTCCTCTTATTGCTGCTAGCATAGAGAAAGAAACTTGATTTGTGTATTACTTTATTTCAATTATATCTCAATAAATCTGTTAAAAAAAATTGCGTGTGACCCAGTCTCACATGGAAAAGTGGCAAATAAACTGATGCCAAGTGATACGTGTTTTCTGGCAAGGGACAGTCAGTGTTTTGCTGCAGAAAACTGCATCACCACAGATAGCATTAGGGGCATAATGGTAGAAACATGTAGATCAAGAAAACATTCCAGTCCTGCTCAGATCAACTTACAGAAAACCGCACAGTGCTCTCTCCTTGTGTGGGGCATGGCCAGATGCAAGAAAGGGGAAAACCTAGACAGTGGAATTGTAATTAACTATCCACATTAACAGCAATCCATGTGGCTTATCAGTTTTTTAAAATCCCTTACCTAGATGTGTCATTTAATTTAGAAACCTGAGTTTCTGCTGGTGGTTCTTGTAAATCTAAAGAATACTCGGGTTCTGAAGCAACTTCTAAGCATGAAAACGAAAAACAAAAATTGTTAGGCAACTCGAAGTAAACATTTAAATATACCACTCAAGCCTTATTTATGATTTTTAAAAATCTGACCTTTTGGAGTATCATCCAGTTTTGTTTTCTCAGGTGAATGATCGGCTGTATTTGTTTGCTGCAGAAAAAAAAATATGTGTATATATACATATTTGTTTAATTATGGTGCCTTTCAAATTATACTAAGATATCAGGCTCTTCATTAGATTTGGCTCCAAATGACTTTTGGTTGTTCCAAAACAAATTGATACCCACCCTCAGGAGATTTGTCACTATCAAAGACAATCAAAGTGTCTCAAAGTTACTAAGGGAACCATCAAAGGGAGACTTACAAAACTGTCTTCAACAGCATCAGAACTGTTGAGATAAGTGTACAAGTTCCCACAGAGACAATCTATTTGGAGGAATAATCTTTGGTATATTTGCTAAAAAAGAAAATCATGACACTATCATTGCCCTTCTGTATAATGTGCTCATGTGATGAAACACACAGAAATAGGGACTGCACTGAACATCAACATAGGCCAAGCGGCGTGTTAGGCGCTTTATGTACATTACGTCTTTAACCCTAAGAGCGCCACACTGTGAACCAGCTACCACCTTTGTTTTACAGACGAGAAGCCTCAGGCTGAGTGTGTTTAAGTGATTCTCCCAAGTTCACACAGTTAGTGAGTGAAAAGCAGGTCTGATTCCAAACATTAGGCTGCTCTTTTGTCCCCAAGCTCAGTCTCTCGATCCCAAATGAGGGAATAAGGCAAAGCCAGCCAAGGCATACATTCCATGGGAGAGCCACAGTGAAAGGAGAAAAAACACACATGGCAGGTAGAAGAAATTTGAAGGAGGAGATAGTTAGACAACTGGCTGGCCAGGAGAAAATGGACAACAGGTGAGGACGGTCAGCCTCCACCTGCCAGCATCCTGGTGGACACAGTTTAGAATCCTGCCCCCCGTTCCCTGCACTCACCGCAGGCTCAGACTGGTTATTTAAGGGGAGGGTCGTCAGGCAGTGGTCATCTTCAGCGCTGGCTAACTCTGCCAGCTCAGTGGATTCCTCTGCTTGGCCTGTACACATTATGAGAAGAGCAGTAAAAAGTGGTAACAATAACAATACATAACGCTGGGTACGCCCCCCTCTGCGCTCTTCGTGGGAGTCACACTGCTGGCACTTCACCATCTTTTGGTAAGAGCTGCTAATTAGGTCCTGCCTCAAACCTCAGACCAAAAATCTATGGGTACTTTGGAAAACAGCCTTTGGGTCTAACTCATAAGAGAAAGATAATCTGAGTAGGGCCAGCTCTGTGCGTAGATGGACCTTTACACACCCCATCACATGCCTCCTGCCACCCCATCATTATTTCCCTTTTGTCATTTCCAACTGACCCCAAGAGAGACTGTAGCAGGTGGAGAAAGTAATTCCAAGTTTAATTAGCAACTTTTCTTTCTCTAAAGGTATAACAACACATTAATTCCTCTTATACGACCACAGGTTTTCAGTGACCTCTTTCAAGTAATATTTTATCATTGATGTTACAGGGAATCCGGGTAAGACACTTGGGATTTTCCAGTATACCTGGCTCTTTTTCATGGCTGCTAGGCGTCTCAGTGTCTTCTTTCTCAAACTCACCAAAAAGGTCTGAGATTTTTGCCTGGTGAGGCATCACCTGAAATGCAAACCAAAAGCCACATTGATTTTTAAAAGTAGTAATTCATGAAAAGTGATATAAGTCAAACAGTGAAAGATCAACACCATATGATCTCACTTATACGTGGAATCTTAAACAAACAAAAAACAAGCTCATAGGGTTAGGGTAAAAATAAAAACAAAAAACAGTAAGTGCACAGATAAAGAAAGCAGATTGGTGGTTCCAGAGCCCAGAGTGGGCGGTGGGAGAAATGGGCGAAGAGCGTCAGAAGGTACAAACTTGCCATTATAAAATGAGTATGTCATGGGGATGTAACATACAGCGTGGTGATTATAGTTACTACTACTATATTGGGTATTTGAAAGTTGCTAAGAGACTAAATTAAAAGTTCTCACAAGAAAAAACTTCTAACAATGGTGATGGCTGTCAATTAGTCTCATTGTGATGAATATTTCACAATATATACAAATATGGAATCATGATGATGTACACTGGAAACTAATACAATGTTTTATGTCAATTATATCTCGATTTTTGAAAACCCCAACCTGGAAATTTAAGAGACATGAAAACATTCTAAAACATATTCAAACAGAATTAAACTTGCCACCTGTTTGTCTTCTCCTAAAGCTTTCATGGAAGCTTGTAATATGTTGAATTGCAATTCAAAACGGATTTCTATTTTCATTGTTTCTTTGCTTCTGATATTAATAGGCTCCTTCAGGTGAATACTGAGTATCTTCATCTCAGCCTCTAGCAAAAAATAAAGCACACTGATGCACACAACATATTGAAATGCTGTATTTTTTAATTTTTAATTTTAAATAACTGCACTGGGATATTTGTTCACTGTCCAGGTTTTTCTGCAATGAGAAGTGGAAAGGAAATTATTTCAATAGTTACTCTGATATTATTTTTATTAGATGCACATATGCAAGATGTCCTAAATCCTTTGTGAAAAGAAGTATAAAATCCATATAATTACCTAGTATTTGGTTTTAACTCCTTAGTAAACCCAGTTGCTTAAAAACTGTTATGTATGCTGAGTTACTTTCAAAACATCCCTTTAAAGACCAAATTCAGGAATCCTGGTCAAATATGATTACAGCTGAAATGCTGACCTGGACTAACAACTTACTTCTGCCCAGGATCACTCCTGATTTCATGCCCCTCAACTCTACCTACCAAGCGGCGAAGAAATGTGAGTAACAGATTTAAGAAGGGGGAGTCAGAGGGCTGATATTTAAATAGAGGAGGTACATACCTACATAACTCATCAGTTACTGTAAATATATGCGAAAGGTAGGGCAGGTACAATAACTGTCTTTTAAAATCGTGGTACAAAGCATACCATTTACCTTGTTAACCATTTTTAAGTGTAGGGCTCAGTAGTGCCAAGTATATTCACATTGTTGTGCAACAGATCTCCAGAACTTCTTCCTCTTGCAAATCTGAAACTCTGCACCCATTAAACAACTGCCCGTCTTGCCTTCCCCACCGCCTCTGGTACCCTTCATTCGACATTCTGTCTCTATCCATCTGACTACTTTAGATGCCTCGCTGAAGTGGAATCATACAGTACTTATCTTTTTGTGACTAGCTTCTTCCACTGAGCATAATGTCCTCAGGGTTCATCCACACTGCAGCATGTGCCAGAATTTCCTTCCCTTTTAAAGCTAGATACTATCTCATTGTAAAGATAGATCACATTTTGTTTATCCATTCATTCATCAATGGACACTTTCGTCATTTGTGCCTCTTGGCTATTGTGAATAATGCTGCTATGAACATCAGTGTGCAAATCTCTTCAAGTCCTGCTTTCATTTCAGTTTTACTTCTGGATATATATATATATACTGCTGGATCACATGATGATTCTACTTTTAATTTATTGAGGAACTATAACCACTTTTACAATGAGAAAGCCAGGCAAGTAATTGAATCCCAACGTTCCAAAGCGGAGGAGTCACCTCCATCTTTTACCCCTACATCCCGGCCCTGAATTACAGCCCTCCTTCCCTGACACTCATCACCTCCCCAGCACTCACCACCCTCTCTGCTACCCCGAGGTGCAAGCAGAGTCTGCCCTAGAATTAACTAAACATGTACTGCAGGTATAACATGAAATAGTACTCAGGACTCAATGTGGGGGCGGTGCAGAATCATCATCTTACCTACTACGCTGAAATTAAGCACTGCTTCTTTTGAAAGTCTTACGGAGTCCCACAGGACACTCTTGGAAAAAATAAGTGAAACTCATGAGCACATTCTTGGATATGAACACTCTCTAAGCCCTTAGGTCTAAAAACAGCAATCAAGCATGGTTACCTCGGTATTGTTTATATAAAAAGTTACACTCTGACTTCCTAGGTTGAAATCAATCCAAAATTTTTCTAATTTTTCATCTGCAGGTTTTCTCATCTGTAAGATAAAATTTCAGCATTAATCTTGTGCGAAAGGGTCAAATGAAAATTACTCCATTAAAAACAGAACTGCTCTTCCTAGGACGACACCACGTTAACATTACAGGGTCCCCCTTGATTGCCTTACTCATTTCTGCAAAACAGGAGGAAGGTCTCAATTTTATATAACTAAACTATTTCTAGAAAAACTCTACTAAGCAATTTAATAGATACTTAAATGTGTCGATGACTCTATACACACAAACTTTTTTTGTTTTCTGGTGAGAATCACAGAGAAAACAGCTCTATGTTGAAGCAGTAACTGTATCTGGATGGAAACGTCTAGCAAAGGAGGTGCTGTGATCAAGTATAAGTGGTGATTTGCCAGCTAACTTACCATTTGTCAAAATAAAGCTAAGACTTGAAGATTTCAAATTACCCTCATTTTAATTGATTACAGTCAGCCCTCTGTATCCATGGGTTCCAAATCCAAGAACTCAACTGACCACAGAACAAAAATATTAGGAAAAAAATTTTCCAGAAAGTTCCAAAAAGCAAAACTTGAATTTGCCACACACTGGCAACTACTTACATAGCATTTACATTACATTAGGTACCATACGTAATTCAGAGATGATTTAAAGTATATGGTGGGATATGTGGAGGTTACACGCAAATACTAAGTCATTTTATATAAGGGACCCACAGGGTGGGGTGTCTTGGAATCAATCCCCCACAGATGCCGAGGGATGATTGTATTATAATTATTATGCCTATAGTTAAAAGAAAGAAAGATTTGGACAGAATGGAGTTTATAGAAAGTAAGTGTTTCCTTCTCTGTCCCTCAGCTTCCCATAGGTATCTTTCCATGGGCACCATTAACAAAGCCTGTTTTTTCCCCAGATGTGTTCTAAACACATATCAGGACGTACTTATTACATTTTTATTCTCAGCGATGGAACAAACACTAGACTTAACAATTCCATCACTTGCTTTTCCGATTAATAGTATTTCTTGGACACTGCTCCATCATACACACCTGCTTTCTAATAGCTACAGAGTTGAAGGAAGGCTTTAACATACAATGTATGCTTACTGGAAGCAATGTAAGGACTCCTACTGACCCTGGTAGAAATTTAGAAGTCCTAGGAAGAAGAGAAATCAAGCAGAGATCAGAATCTTCAGTCAACCAGTAGGAAAAACAGAACTGAGATACAGCAATCAGGCTACGAAAACCAGCCCTGGGGAGAAGGAACTCATGGTGTAGCCATGAGTTAAAGGCTCAGCTCACAGAGGCAAAGAAGGGGCTCCCGACCCAAAACCAAGAAATGGGTAATTAGGATATTCTGGAGATGGGGTTCAGGAAACCTCGGCAGAGTCCAGGCACAGAGACCTTTGAAGATTTTTACCCCAAAAAGGAGATGCTGTAGGTTGGGGCACTTTTATTTACATGAAGGATCTTGTTCCTCTAGAAACCAAAGAAAGGGATAAAAAGATACTGCTCCACTTTAGACTGTGAAGTACAAGGTAGAAAGATCTAGAGAAACGTGAGTGACCCGAGTGCTGAGGACAGACCGGGAAATGTAACTGGATAGAAAGAAGCAAGGGACCTGCCCTCCCCTCCACTCCAGGCGTGAGTAATGTCACCCATTAACAGGATAACAGAAGGCATGGTTCCCGTACCTGACCTTGTGAACGCAGCATAAGCCCCACGATTCCTTTATCCAGAAGTAACAGTAGGGCTCTTAACTAATACGCTTCAGAGCTGAGACCTCTAAGAGGAAAAGCAAGCTTCGTTTTTAAAGAAGCCCTTCTGTGGAGCAACAGCAGTTTGATCTGATGTAAACCTCACTATGGGTTTCATTACACGCCACCCACCCTCGCAGCCCCCGACAGAGACAAACATACCTCACGTTCATCAGCAAAAGCAGCGATGCACGGAAATGAACAGACCCTGCAAAACACCTCACAGTTAAAAAGTGAAGTAAAACATGGGTGGACCCCACACACCACCTTGCAGACATTCTACAAACAAGATTAACGACTTGGGTGTGCCACCGAGTTCCTTTGTAAAAAGTATGGAAGGGGCTCTCAGACTCGCAAATGGAAATCTACTAGGGGCAGAATTCAGATCTCCATCTGGTCTCCAACACGCCAGGTTGCTGGTAACATACCTCCACCCAGTTGCTTGGCAAGAGTCTTAAGGAATAAATTTAGCAAATATTTCCCCATCAAGGATTTAACTGTCCGTAATGCATCTATCCCCAGGAACCTCAGACCTACAGGAAATCATTCATAAAATCTTATTGGAGGACATCACATAAAAACCATTCCAAATCACAAGAAAATACGTTAAAGACTGATGGAAATCATTTTTAAACCCACACGAATGAATTGCTAGGCAGAATGTGTTTATTCTTCTGAGGTTTCTACTCAGAGGATAACTCAGTAAATGCTGGGTCCTATGCTCTCTCCTAAAGCAGAGCCTAGATTTTTTTTTTTTTATAATAGTAGACCTTTTCAGACTAGGTCTAGTCAATAAAGTAATGCTCAGAGAAATGTCTTACCTTCTTTGGTCGCCAAGTCTGTCATTTAGGTGATTGAGAAACTGTCTACAATCCTTCAAAGTAAATAATGCAAATTTTTTAATTTTAAAATATCAAAGCATTTTATTTAAATGCTATCCTTTGGAACATGTAAAGGCCAATGTTTTGTGTCTACATTTCCAGGATCCAGGGACATCACAAAGCTTCATAAGGATTCGTTATTAAGTGTGATATAACTAAAACAAGACTTTGTGTCTCAAAGGGGAGGCTCCAGACTCCTGTTCTGAACTCCCAGCCATGAGATCTGCAGCTGAGGAATGCTTAGGTCTCCAAAAGTTACACGTGCCATTACCTTTCACTGGGCTAGAAGAGTTAAGTGAGAGAAATATCCCTGATTGATGACTGACATTGTAATATTTGACTAACCCAGTGGGCATCCATCTCCCTACCGTCTCCCAGCACAAGCCAACCATAAACCCATACCATTAATCAGTTGGGAGTTTATCCTGATGTATTTATCCACTGCCAATTTTCCTCATCAAGAGTTCTCTGTCTCACTCCTTCCTGAGTTCTCTCTCCAAGTATGTTCTTAATTCTCCCAACCAACAACTATTAGGAAGGCAAGTTTGCTGCCCTCAAACTCTAAAGCCAAAGAGGCACTGGCCCAGTGTCCCTTTTGTTAGCGAGGACCGTCTGTTGTGGTCCAACAATCCTCACACTCCATGTCTAGCTTCGGCACTAAAATGGACAACATTAATGCAAGCCTTCATCTAAAAGCAGTTCCACTAAGAAGCTGATGGTTCTAGGGGGAAAGTGATTTGAGAAACAAGATAATTACTTTTAAGAGGGGAAGGTATAAATCAGTGGTAGAGCACATGCCTAGCATGCACGAGGACCTGGGTTCAATCTCTAGTACTTCCAGCAAAAGTAATAAATAAATAGATGAACTTAAGTACCTGCCTCCCCTACCCCCACAAAAAAGGAAAAAAAAAAAGATAATGACTTTTGCCATATTTGCCCCAAATTCCCCTGCAGATGAGGGAATGACCCAGGAGAAAGGCAACTGACATGGGAGTGTCCACAATGTCCCAGGCACTTGCAGCTTCTCTCATTTAATTCTCACACTTTTGAGGTGGGTTTTATTCCCATTTTACAGATGAGGATGCTCAGGCTTCAAGTCAACTAACAGCAACAAGGCTATATTGTATAATCCAGGGAGTACAGCCAGTAACTTGTAACTACAAGTGACTTGAGTATCACCATTAAAAATTGTGAATCACTGTCTTGCACGCCTGTAACTAATACTGCACATCAACTATATTTCAGTGAAAACAAACAAAACCCCAAAAAGCAAAAGTCAACTGCTGTGCCAAAATGGATACACCACGTCTGTCAGCTGGGGAGGTGGGACCCAAACCCTACCCATGGTCTTTCTCCAAAAGGACCAAGCTGCACCTTGGCTAAACAACTACCTTAGATCTGGCAACAGGCTTGAAGTCAGGTTTAACATATTCAATAATATACCTGAAGATTCAGATTTAATAGAATCCTAACTGCCCACAGCAAGTTTTGATCAGAAAGGCTTTGTTCAATGTGAGCCTTGTTATTAAGAACTTTACCTTTTCCTATGGGAATCACTCTCATTTCAAGAACTTTTTTAAAGGAGAGGGAAAACACTTTAGCTATTTTAGGATAAAGGTGAGCATGTAGCAAAGCCATTAACTATGTCTGTACTATCGAAGGACACAATCACAGTGAGCCCAGGTTGCATGGAAGACATGGAAAATTACTTTGCCTCCAAATGGTAGAGGCTGGAAGGCTCACGACACAACCAACCCATAATAGTCCTCTGCCACTAGAGCACCCACGCCAGCCTCAGCCTCCCATCACCGTCCCAGCTGCTCTCTGCAAGGCTGAAGTGCACGTTTTTGTTTTTGTTTTTGTTTTAGGGGAAGGGAAGTAATTCGGTGTATTTATTTATTTTTTAGTGGAGGTACTGGGGATTGAACCCAGGACCTCGTGCATGCTAGGCACGCGCTCTACCACTGAGCTATACCTTCCCCCTTGAAGTTCACGTTTTTTTCTTCTCTGACTCTCCCTACCCTTCAATGTTTGTTGAAAATCGCTTCCCACTCCATGACACTGTCTCCAATGGATCCATTAAATTCACACAGTTCTGTGTCCAGGCTAAGTTTCCTATAAAGACGCCCTAAGTGTATGCCTGCATTTGGTCCACAAATGTGCTGTTTCTACAGTCCTCAAGTTATGCGTGGGAAACAGGAAGTTTGAGAATGGCAATTTAACCACATTTAAGAAAAAAATCCTCCCCTGAGCCCAAAGCACAGGAAAGCACTGAGAGGATGCTTCCTTAAGTACAGATTAGATGGAATTTTCATGACCGAGAATCTCACCGTCTCAAATTCTCGATCCCTAATTTCTCTGAAAGCCTCAGCAATGCTATCATCTTCAAACCACTGGTGGACGAGGTCTTCCCTTGATTTTTTTGTCGTCAGTCTACACAATGCTTCACAAAGAGCAACCTGCTGGTCATAATCTAGGGATTAAAAACATGGTAGACATGGATAATTCTGGGCACAAAGCGAAAGAAAAAATGAGTTCCACAGATTGGCATCCGCTCTAAGGAGTCTCATCTTAGAAGACTAGCACTGTGTTTGATAAGCAGCAAGATGCATCCAGGAGCAAATATAATCACTTAAATTCATATTTAAGAAACATTAGGGGGAGGAAAGCTTCCTTGTACATTACTTTGCAACTTCATGTAAATCTATAATTATTTCAAAGTTAAAAGTTTTTTAAAAATTTAAAAAAATATTAGGGAAAGATTCAAACAATAGGTCAGCATATAATAATTTTTTAAAAATCCAGGGAGGGTATAATAGCTCAGTGGTAGAGTGTATGCTTAGCATGCATGAGGTCCTGGGTTCAATCCCCAGTATCTCCATTAATTAAATAATTACCCACCACCAAAATAATAAAAATGACATTTCTGTATTTTATATTTTAGATGTATTAAAATATTCATCAAAAGCAGCTTTGTCCAGTCTTAAGAAATACTTCTACTATAAAAATAAAATCCCTAGATAAACTGTGGTTTTCCATAGAAGAGAAACAAAAACTCCACTTATAAACATGTTTACACCTCCAACAATTTTAAGGGTAAAAAGCAAGTTGCAACTGGGTAAGATGACATTTATAGAATGCTTTTAAAATTTGTAAAACAGTAACGTATGTTGCTTGTGAATACATAGAGCAAAAGCAGAAAAATATTCTTGGAAATGGAAAACAAACCCAAGTCAAGGATTACATCCACAAACAAAAAGGGGAATGGGGCAGAGGTGGACACAGGGGCTTTACCTGTTACTCTGATTTATTTTGAAAAAGGATTTGAAGCAAATGGTAGCAAAATGATAAAATCTGACTGAGCTGGTGGGTGAGTAAAGGAGTATCAATTATTCTTGACAGTTTACAGCATGCTTAACTCTCTTGTAATAAATTAAAAATAAAATCCTAATTTCTATCTTCAATGTGACCCTAATTTACTCCCCATAGTTCTAAGATGCTCATAAAACCCCCAATGTCCAATACTTAATATTCTAATATTTAAAATTTTAAATACTTCTTACCACCCACAGTCAAGATTGTCCTTGCAAGGTCTTTCCTGAAACATTTAGATAAATTTCATTTTACTGAAATGAACATAAATAAGGAAAACTTTACTATATTGGCATTAACATTTTAAACCAAGGAGTATATTTTTGCAAGTATTTCAAATTCAGTATCAGCATTTCCTCAATGTCAAGAACACATTTTTATGGAAAAATTCTCAAGTTTATATACTGACTTTATACTTTTTAAAAAGAAGCTAGAGCTACCATTCATTCTGAGGTTCTAGTTCTCATTCTGTAAAATAATTTCAATTTGATGATCTCTGAGGATTCATCAAATGCAAAGATTCTGGAATTTTCTAATCACCTCACCAGCCTGTGAGGATATATATCCACCCACCCACCCCAGTTTGACACCTGGAAGAAATGATACAGCAGGTGCTGTGGGTCTTTCCTATAAGCTTTTGGAATGGATTTTAAACACTGATCAATTTAAGTTACAGATGGAATGGGATTAAAGTTATTACATGATTGCAACTAGACCCCCATACTGCCCATTCATTTAAGAATTTTGATTAAATGTTAACAAATATGATACTGATCTTCTTTTAATGTCTGAAATAACCCCCATTTTAAAGACTTGTTATGAAACTCTGTAGCTTTCTCATAACAAATGGACTGATTTGCTACTTCTAAAATAGAAGCCTTAAAACAGTACCGCTGAGAGTTCTACTCAATTTTCTGCTTGCAGATTTGACGTTTGACCTCAAGTCCAGAACATTCCAGACTAGAACACACAATCAGGTAGGACCACTGCATTAGTCTGGAAGCTGAGGTGAAAACATCAGGTCAGCTGCTCTCCAGATCTAAGCACACAACTAAGGGTAATGATTAAACTAACGTATTCAATGACTACTTTGTAGGAAAAATTCAGAGGGAACATGCATCCTGCAAAGACCAGTTAGATGGACAAACACAATGAGCTCCATGCTCACCAATCACCTCCTCAGGTCTACACTACGGCCAACTCACGGCCCCTCCTCTCCCAGTCCTGGCTGCATGTCACCTGACGGATGGTGTGCCACAGTGATGTCACTGACGCTGGTGAGTGGTCAGCACAGCCATAGGTTTCAGTTCAAATTTCCAGAGTGCTGTTGTTCCTCTTGCCACAGTCACATATGACAACCTTACGTCCAAATTTGAATGTCCTAAGAACTACGTAATTGTGAGTGGGTCACCAAAACCCCCATATTCCATCCCTCTGAAAGCCATACAGTCCCTGTGGGTGTAATTAATAGCCAGTGAGCTCTGAGCATCAACTCTCCCTCAGGCAATGTGTTAATCACCTTCAGTGGACTGCCTGAAATTGACCCATGCAATCACTCTATCGATCAGGTATTAATGTGGCTCCATTTCACAGATGAGCAGACCGAGGTATAGTGAGGTTACAACTATGATCTACATTACTATACATAAAATAGATAAACAAGGGCCTACTGTATAGCACGAGGAACTATATTCAGTATCTTGTAATAGCCTATAATGAAAAACAATCTGGAAAAAGTAGACATATATGTATAACCAATCACTTTGCTGTACACTTGAAACTGACACAGCATTGTAAATCAACTATACTTCAATTTAAAAAAAATTTTTTTTAAAAAGACTGTGATGTAGAGAAGGCAACCAGCTTAAGTAGCAAAACTAGGATTTGAAGCCAACTGATCTGGCACCAGTCTGTACCCCTTACATTCTCCCATGAATCACTAATTTTGTTCCTATGCACAACGAAAAATAATCTACAGCCTAAGAAAGCATTTCACCTCACGAAATTGATGTGGAAAAAAACCGCCCCGAACACCACGCTGCTAAAAAGAAGAGCTCAGCAGTCTAGTTTCCCCCCTCAGCTCAGGGCCTGATCTGAGCAGCTTGATGACTGAAGGAACCAAGTCATCAGGCCAAAGTGGAACAAAGACAGATTTTGTCCTGACGTCACCACCTAATCGAGTGAAGGTCACGTACATAAGACGACACGGGTCTTCTGACACGAGGAGCTGTTTTCTCTCTTCTCGAGGCACGGCTTGTAGAATGCAGTTCAAAGTCCTCAGGCCCTGGACGGAATTGAGGAAGGTGTTCATGGGGGAGAAACCAAAGAGACCTGGGCGTGAGCATCTCCAAGGGGTCCAGGGCAACGGCTCTCAGGGTTGTTATTTGCAACTCACCTCCCGTTGGATCAAATGGTCCACAGCCTCTTCTGTCACCAGAAATCCCAAGGTAAATATGAAGGAGACCAACATCTGACTTTTCCCTGAAAGCGGAATTTTAGAGGAATCAAACCGCTGCTAAAAAGAATAAGGACATGACTCCTACACAGGGGGAGGCAAAGGCTGGAAAGCTGTAAGCAGGCAAGGTTTCAGAAACAATACAGTCGGGGCAAGGGACAAATTACAGCCTGCCTCCAGTTCGAGAACCCGCCCCCAAGGCCACCATCAATTTGCGCAGCACAGAGCCCACCGCGGAAAACAGCAGCTGGACCTGCGAAGTGACACTGTGATGATCGCATCTCAGGCAAAGCCACTGTTTGTGTCCAGACTGAGCCACGTGCCAAGGGCAGCTCCTGCACACACTTCCCCATTGTTTCTACGCATTTCTTACACTTGTGTATTTTGCAAAAATAAAAATTTTATAAAGGTCTGAATGCTAACAGAAGTGGGAATTTTTAAGTAAAAGGTTGGCCTTTATTAAACAGCTTAATCCTAGAAACATGAGTGGCTACTTATATATCAGTACCTTGTAAACTAAAAAAAAACAAGGGATGTGGTCACACTTTATGCCTATTAATAAACTGTTATTGATGACTTCATTTATGCACTGTTTACAAAGACATACATACAATACAAGCCTAAAGCCCCAGACTAAATCTGGGTAGACGATGAAGAATAAAAACAGGTTGAATTCCTGTCATGTATAAAGGAGAAATAAGCTGCTATCACACTGATGTCGATAATTAAATTAAGAGTAAGAACCAGAAGAATAAAACTAGGACAGAAGTCATTCAAATCACTAGAGAGAAGCTAATAGTGAAAGAATATAAAATTCATATAGCAAAGCACAAAGCAAAGGAATTATAAAAACAAAACGCATACAGGTGACTGGATAAAGAAGATGTGGTATATTTATACAACGGAATACCATTCAACCATAAAAACCGACAACATAATGCCACTTGCAGCAACATGGATGCTCCTGGAGAATGTCATTCTAAGTGAAGTAAGCCAGAAAGAGAAAGAAAAATACCATATGAGATCGCTCATG